AGAGGGAAGGGGCTCTGATAGAGTAACTGTACCAGAGGGAAGGGGCTTTGATTGTGTAACTGTACCAGAGGGAAAGGGCTTTAATGGTGTAACTGTGCCAGAGGGAAGGGGCTTTAATGGAGTAACTGTACCAGAGGGAAGTGGCTCTGATAGAGTAACTGTACCAGAGCGAAGGGGCTCTGATAGAGTAGCTGTACCAGAGCAAAGGAGCTCTGATGGTGTAACTGTACCAGAGAGAAGGGGCTCTGATGGAGTAATTGTACCAGAGGGAAGGGATGGGACCAATGCTTTGACCTTATTCATCATTGATCCAATGACCCATCTGGTTCACACATGCCTCTCAGGGAAGGAAATCTGCCATTCTTACCTGGTCTGGCATAGTTGTGACTCCAGGCCCACAGCAATGTGGTAGATTCTTAACTGCCCTGTGAAATGATGTGTCAAGCTACTCAGATGTAGGCAGCTGAACATCACTTGCTCAGGAACAATTAAGGGATGGGTAATAAATGGTGTGCTTGCTGACAATGCCTGCATCCCAGACTGATTAAAAGAAAGGTTAACACATCCAGAGAGGATTTCTGATGGAGAGTCAATGAGGGGCAATGTTAAGTTTGCCCCGTGAATCAAATGGAAAGACAGATACACTCCCACCACCCATTCTCCTGGAATGTTGCATAACGTTACACAAAATGATCAGCAACAAAACAGGCCAACTCAACCTGAGTCTCCTCTCACCCTGCTAGACCCCACCCTATCACCCAAACCCTTTCACCTCATGTTTTTATCCAGCTCCCCACGTCATGGTACCTGTGGTCTTAAACATTGGGAAACCTGTACTGCTCACCCCATTTCTTCACAGTTGAACCTTTTCTATTTCTTGCCCTGTAACAGTGTGGAGCTGGCAGACAATGCTGCCCCTGCTGAAGGAGATTAAACCTGAGAAACAGGAAGAGGAAGTGCAATTGGATGAGATAAACACCAGCCCAGCAAGGCAGCCTCCTGGACAGTCACATGGGACAACTGCAAAAGCTGTTTAATCTCAGAGCTGTGTGTGTGGATAAGACCTGGTCTTGCTGCCAAATCTTCATTATCCTCCAACACACACTCCAGGATTGTTTACCCTTCAGGACTGCCCTGGAGTTTCCAGGAATCTAAGATGAATCTCGAGGACACTAAACTGAGAGCATTTAACAATGTTTATTTTAATTATTTTTTTTGAAGACTTGTGCTTGTTAGTTGTTAAAATAGGACAGATGGGAAAAGCACTGCGTCATTCTGGAAGATTGGGAAGTGGTGAGGTAATGGTGATGTCACTGGACTAGGTATCCAGTAGCCCTGGATAAAGCATGGGAGACATGGGTTCAAATCCCAGTGGAAGCTGGTGGAATTTTAAATGCCATTCATAAAAATCTGAAATACAAATCTAGTCTCAGTGATAATGGCTGGTACAATGTGGATTGTTGCAAAAACCCCGTCCGGTTCATCAATGTCCTTAATTCTCACAGGATCTGGCCTACACTTGACTCCAGACCCACAACAATGTGGTTCACTGTCATTAAAAAAAGGGGAGGCAATGACCTAGTGGTATTATCACTGGACTGGTTATCCAGAGACCCACGTAATGATCTGGGGCCCTGGGTTCAAATCCCACCAAGGCAGATGGTGGAATTTGAATTAAATAAAAAATGACCACAAATCGATTGTTGGAAAAATCCATCTGGTTCACTAATGTCGTTTAGGGAAGGAAACCGCCATCCTTACCTGGTCTGGCCTACATGTGACTCCAGACCCACAGCAATGCGGTTGACTCAGAACTCCCCTTTGGGATGGGCAATAAATGCTGCCCTCATCCCATGAATGAATTAGAAAGAAACTCACTGCCATCTGGTGGAGCAAGCCACTTGGCTCAGAGACAGACTACACATATTTTCATGAAAGAATAAATTAATTGGCAGGAATCATCCAACCAGGAAAGGAAGGATCTATTTACAGTCTGATTGGCTGCAGAGTTGGGGCCCCATGAAGATGGACATGTCAGGCAACCAATGACAGAGGTATGGTGGGTCAGGGTGGCTGAAACATGAGTCATGTGAAGAAACCTCAAGGAACACTGAGTTGGCAACGCTGACAGTGGGTAATGGGAATTAACAGATAACCAATGACTCCCAAAAACACAGTGGTGTCTGCTGTATGGTTCAACAAGACACTAAGGTGCCAGAACAACAACAATTGCAGTGCAAGTTCTCAAACTAACTTCAATTTCTTCTGGGCTGTAGCATTACTTATTGTCAGGCAGTGTTACTTTCCGTTTAAAAGAAAGTGAGGGGAGACTTTGATTTAAGCATATGATACTGCATGGTCTTGACAAGGAGAGAGAAAACATGATTCCTCTTGTGGACCAAGGGCGGCACGGTGGCACAGTGGTTAGCACTGCTGCCTCACAGCGCCAGGGACCTGGGTTTGGTCCCAGCCTCCAGCGACTGTCTGTGTGGAGTTTGCACATTCTCCCCACGTCTGTGTGGGTTTCTTGCGGGTGCTCTGGTTTCCTCCCATAGTCCAAAGATGTGCAGGTTAGGTGGATTGGCCATGCTAAAATTGCCCATAGTGTTCAGGGAGGTAGAGAGTGTATGTTAGGTGGGTCATGGGGGATGGGTCTGGGTGGGATGCTCTGAGGTTTGGTGTGGACTTG